CTGGCAAGCAGCCATCTTGGCCTCCACTTTTCCAAAGATCAAAAGGAAATTACTCACAGGAGTATATGTGCTTTGAGCGTTTTTTTCGTGTCTCGTCCCCCCCTCCGCCCCGCTATTTTTAAATCCTGTTACCATAATTTGATTGGTTGTGCTGCAGCTTACGCACATATACATACGGAGTGTGGAAAAACAGAGGGACGGTCTGTGCCTGTTAATACAGAACGAATGAAATGAATTAATGGGGCCACCTTATAAATAATGTGTTTTAAATTTTAAGATTTTGGATAAAATATCCAGTCGTTTCAAGTAAACAGCTTAAAGTCAAGTCAAGTCCCAAGTCAATGGTGTGTAAGTCAAAGTCAAGTCCAAGTCTTTGAGCATTTTTTCAAGTCAAGTCTCAACTCTTGATTTTAACGACTCGAGTCCAAGTCATGTGACTCGAGTCCCAACCTCGACTGATTTTGACACTGGATCAGAATTAACTTTCAATTAACATAACACAATTATATGGAACCTTTTGACAAAAAAATTCTATTAAGTCAATGATTCATTTCTTTGAAATTATTTTAAAATATACCTATGTACTTGAATGCTATTTTTCACCACGGTTTGTTCAGCATAAATGAAAATAAATTCATTTTATTGAAGCTCTGCATTTTACATATTTTATCATTTGTTCGGTAAAATACACACTTATTTTATCTACATTTAAATAACCATTTTAAGCAATAAATTCTAGTTTTACAAATGTTGTCAGGCTACAAGCACAATAAACGGTTACAGATCCAGATACTCACTTCACATTTGGAGTATGTGAATAATTATTTCTGTAGAATAATTATTCTACAGAAATTAAGAATTCATCGCAGGTCTTCAGTCAAAACATCTACAGCTACATATTGTTCTAAGTAACTTAAAACGTCTTTAATTAATTTAACTGTGCATTAAGCTAATTTTCCATCTGTGATACCTGAATTTTTTATATGTAAATTTCTTTGTAGAATGTAGATCTGAAGGTAAACTGGAATAGCACCGACGATATATAGCACCCTGCGCTACCATATACAGAGGACATCAGAAATGACTCCTGATTTCTTATATTTACGTGCATAACGTTATTATAAAACACTGTAGACACGCCTATGCTAAGTGTATTTCATAGACTCTAGAGATATTAAGAACACCCTTTTCCTTCAATCAAATTTGACAGGTGGGCGGGACTTCCGGTTTAAGGCAAGGTACACCCATTCGTCAAACTGACAGGAGGGCGGGACTTCCGGTTTCAGGGATGGGTGGGGTGGGGGTCAGTGGGGTGTCCGAAAGTGGGGAGGGAGGGAGTGAGTGGGGGTTTAAATGTTAATGAATTTAACACCTCTAACCGCAACGGGTGGTGGCTCCTATTGTAATTTTCGTCTGGGACATTCATGAATTAGCCAATTGAAATAGAGTAGGAGGGGCCTGCTGTTAGGTTTATAAATAGGGTGAGAAAATACAGCGCTCTACTTGTAGCGTTTTCTACAGAAGAGTCAAGCAATGTATGGAGATCAACAAATTCATCCTCTTACTGAGGGCTGGAACAGGTCTTTAAAAGACACCAATATCTCCATCACAGTGTACAGCCTAGAGCCGACAGGTCGCCAGTCTGTCGCAGGGCAACACAGAGACACACAACCATGCATACACACACTCACACCTGGGGGCAATTTGGAGAGGCCAATTAACCTGACAGTCATGGCTTTGGACTATGGGAGGAAACCGGAGTACTCGGAGAGAACCCACGCATGCACAGGGAGAACATGCAAACTCCATGCAGGTCAGGAGGTCACAAAGTTCCCATGGAGGGAGAAGGAGGGAGGAGTGGAAGGGGCGGGTTTTGATATTGTTTAATCCATCAAACTCCGATTAAAATTTGACAGAAGGTGGTACATATAGTCTCTGTCGTGTAATAAGCTCTCCGATGGCTGACGGTTATGTTGATGCATAAGCGAGTGACGCAAAGCGTTTTTAATCACCATCTGTATCTGTATCTAACTATTATTATTTTCTTAGTTTGTAGTTTTTGTAATAAATCATTGTTGCTAAAAGTCAACAACATTTCATACGGAGTTGTTGACTATATTTGTGTCAATATAACTGGTGTAACATATTTTACCTGATGCCTGTGACGTATCCCCCTTGAGTGTATTTGTGAGTTCCGCTTTAAATAGAAGCTGAATTTTACAGTGTAATAAGTAGAGATGTGCCGATCAGGTTTTTTCCTCCCAATACTGATACCGATCACCCATGAGGGCCGATCACCGATACCGATCACC